GGTGAAGCGATGTGAGAATCCCAGTGTGGAGTGTGGAGGGTTGTCATGACAGCCGCTCAAAAGGGCACATCATAACAAATTTAAATAAGACAGTAAAAATTGTGATAGTGAAGGTGTGATAAGAGGATATAGGCTATGGAGAGATACCACAATTATTTAGCACACATTTGGTCAAAGGATCGGCTTCACTTGTCTCTTTGACGATTTGTAATATGGTGCTACGAATGGCAAAACTCACTGACGATGCCGGCGAAACGTCTGGTAATGTACCACGTCTAAGGTCCTACTCTGGAAATGATGATGCATACAATGGACTCCGGACTAGGTGCGTTCCTCTAAGTCTTCCTGCCAATGTGACCAAGTTGCGAATAGAAGGTCAAACAACTTTTATACAACAAAAGGAGACGGCGACCATTCAGAAGACCATATCATCTTGGTCTTCATATCCTCGAAAAATTTTATTGTCTGTTGCAATATTGTTGTTTTTTGTTTTAAGCTGATATAAAGAAATTTAATTATAACGGAGTAACTTGTCCAGTGCCTATATACATTTTAAAATTTTTTTATAACGAAACCTTTGGCACTGCACAAGTTATTCCTTATACCAGACAAAGACAAAAAACAATTATATTGCAGCAACAATAAAATTTTTATAGATGTTATTCGACCTTGTTTTCACAACTTGGTCATATATAGCAAGAAGACCTAGAGGAATGTACCAAGACCAGAGTATGCATGATAATTTCCAGAGTCGGACTGTGAACGTGGAACACTCCCAGAAGCTCCGCATGCATCATAGTCGGCATCGACAGTGAGCTTTTTCATTCTTTATACCATACTACAGCTCATCAACGAGAAAAGGGAAGCCGATCCTTTGACCGATTGTCTGCTAAGCAATTGTGAGATGTATTCATCTAATTTCGTTTAAGGTGATGAAGGACTGGTAGAAAAATTTTCCCACAATGGCATGAGTAGAGCTGACGTTTCCATTCAATTTCACATAGCCTTGCTTTCCCACAAGTTGTTCTCATCCATTCTGAAGTGGACTGCAGTTTCTACCTCGTTACACTGTCGAGGTGTGACGGTGCAGCATGTCAACTCGACACGTTAACCACTCGGCCACATCGCCACGAGTGCTCTTGGGTCACAGCTCATCGGGGATAACACCGATGCGAGGTCGAAACTGCAGTCCATTTCAGCCGGGATGAGAACACCTTTTGGGAAAGCAAGGCTAGTTGAAATTCAATATAAAATTTATATCATTGTGAGACAATTTTACCACCAGTCCTACATCACCTTAAACGAAATAGAGTGACTACATTTCATATTACGGATTTACAAATATACAAAAGATAAACAGTTGTGGCATCTCTCCACCTGCCCTTGGCTATTCACCACTCATATATCCTCGTATCACCTCTTCACTATCACACTTTCTTATTTAAACGTGCTATGGTGTGACCTTTTTACGGATTTCATGAGAACTCTACAAACCCCACGCTGGCTTTCTCATCCTCTCACCCGCATTCCTCCTTCCGTAGGTCTTATCAGAGTCTCCCTCTTGCTTCGTAGGATCCACCTCACACCTTCCTGGTTCGGTATTTCACTCGACCCCTGCAACTCTGTCTGTACTACTCCAAGCGTAATTTCCGACATTCTGCCTAATTGTCATGATCAAGCCTTTGTTTCGTGGACCACGTCTATGATCAAACACGTCTGCTGTTCGTCAACTAGCTCTAGTCCCCACCGCGACTATCCTGTTTCTATCTCTGATATCAAGTCTACGACATCCTATGCCCTAATCTCTTGTGTGCCAACCCACAAATGTTATGGTTATACTGGTTTTTAGTAGGTTCATTATAGGCCACAAAAGACCCCACCATCTTGGTCTTCATACCTTCGAATATAATTTTTCGTTTATCTGGCAATTTCGCTATTGCGCTATTCGTTAAACCGTAATTTTACCAGTACATATTATTTATATGTTATTATATATTATTACATTTTTATCATATCATTGCCTCATTATGGCAGATAATTTAAATTTTATAATTTATATCTACACTTATGACTATTTGACCTTGTTCCACTTACGATACTCTGAACTCACTCGCAGCCTAAGCCCTTATAGCCTAGTACAGACCTGCATACAGACTCCATAAAAGTCATTCTATCAAAGAATCTCTTGGTATTTGGTGGTTAAAGCCCTCGAAATAATCAGTTTATTGAGAGAGTCGCAATAGCAAGTTGACTGTGTGAAGAAGAGACAGTCCCTCTGGTCTCATCCGTCTTGATAATGGAGTCTCGACTAAGAGAATTGTAGAGGGATTTCCACTAAAACCCAATTAATGGAGTCCATATAGTCTTTGACCTAATTAATAAAAGAAAATGTATGAAATATGGCAACTATGCCCAGCCATAGTGTTATTTACTACCCACATTTTAAACTTGAGGTTCAGGAATACATGAAGACCAAGATGTTGTGGCCTCTGCTATGGTCGCAGTCTCCTTTCGATTTATAGAAGTGGGTTGACC